AAACCAACAAAGGTTTTTCCAAGGAATATAAATTATATGAGGGATTTTCCCAGGCTTGGATAAAAAATCCGTTTAAAATCAAACGCTTGAAGTTGTTACCAGGAGATCCTTATATCTTTTGCTCTATTTTATATTATACCTTTTTCAATAATAAATAAAATTAAGATACTGATTCCTAGATCTCGTTTCTGATGATGAAAATTACACAGTTGCAGTGTATTCACATAATTTGCACATTTTGTATCCCGAGTCCTGAGCCCTTTTTATTAAAGAGCGTCGCGCGTGCGCTTCCCCCTGTTGCCGGCACGCACCCCGGGCAACAAGTCTTTGTCTTTTGTGTAGAAAAGCTTTTGGATTTCCCTCCCTCTTGCCCAAGTAATCATTTATTCAAATAGATTTCATTTCATTCGCCATTGTGCTCGCTATTGTCCTGTTGCCGCCCTGCTCACCCGTTTGGTCCTGTTGCTCCTGCGCACTCACCCTCGATCAGCGACATTGGATTGCAACTTTGATTTCCACCTTCGACGGGGGTTGATAGGGAAGTTTGGCTACGACATGTTACCCTCTAAAAAGGATAATGAAAAAAGTAAGTTATAAGTAATAATTTTTAATAATATTTTTAATATTATTTCTCAAGGTTTTACCTGCTGGCAATACTTTTTACCTTTATTTAGAAGAACTATAAAACTCTACCGTCTACTTTTAGATTCCATAAATCTTCTATAACCCAAGGGAAAGGTAAGGTCAGAATGAAATATGACGACCTATGAAAAGGACATAACATTTTGTGCGGATATCCAGGGAATCATAAAGGCGGCACTCCCACTCCCCTTACTTGGTGCCGCTCAGCTTTTTGGCTGCTGCTGACCAGATCCGTAGAGCAAACACCCCCCAAGCCCAGACATACCTATGTACGTACGTACGTGCGAGTGCGTGCTAATCCTGTCGGAACTTCGAAATGCAATGCCAGGACCTACTATACATTGGACATTGTTATTGACAAACTGGCGAGGGTTGTTTGGGCGCCTGCTCGCCAGGAAGAGGAGAGGGGGCGAGGACTGAGCGATTGCTGCAGCAGGAGCAGATGTTTTTCGCGGCAGGACGATAATGAGGATGACGATGACGATGACGTTGGCGATCGGCAATCGGGGACCCCAGCACGGGACACGAAACACATAACACGGACCTTAAAGGACAACAAAGGAGCGGGCGAGGGAGATAGATATAGATAGAACTAGGGGAGAGCCAAAGCGAGGGAGATCCTTGGGCCTCGTTCCAAACCGGTCGCTTGTCCTATAGCCAAAAATTCCAAGCACTGAGAGAAATATTAACTTTAAAGTGAATATTAAAAAGAAATTCTATAAATTTTTATTGTAAAAGGAAAAATATTTAAAATAAATATTTAAAATATTTTAAAATATATTTATTTTTAATATTTTAAAATCACCAGGAATTCCTTCCCTAAATATAATAAAATCTATTTTAAAAAAATTAAATTCAGCTTCCAAATTAAAATTCTAAAAAATAAATTTTCTAAATTTCATAATAAATTTTTATCGTAAAAGGAAAAATATTTAAAATAAATATTTAAAATATTTAAAATAAATATTTAAAATATTTTTAAAATATATTTATTTTTAATATTTTAAAATCACCAGGAATTCCTTCCCTAAATATAACAAAATCTATTTAAAAAAATTTAATTCAGCTTCCAAATTAAAATTCTAAAAAAATTTTTAAAGTGTTTTTAAAATTAAAAAAAAAAATTACTGCTTTTTATGCACCATTTGGCCTAAAGCGTTATTTGCCCAGATTGGATCACAGGGTCGGGATCGGGATCCGGAGCGGATCAGCGATAGCACCAGGATCTGCTCTGGAGTTGAGGGAGCGAGTGAGGGAGAGAGAGAGAGAGAGAGCGAGCTAGGGTGAGGGTGAGGGTGAGGGTAATTTATTGTTGCTTGTCAACCCCCGAAAAGCGCGCCAAGGGGCCCAGCTCTCGATGCCAGGTCCCTATATGTATATACTCGTCCTGCCAGAGTCCCGTTCCCAGGTAGAGCACGATCCCCTATGTGCATTGTACATAATGTACAAGGCGAGGCACGTGCGCACGATCCAAGGCACCCCAAAACAGTTCCAGCAGTTCCACTCAGCTGCCCTCGACTTTTTAGGGAAATTCACAGTTTTCATTCACTATTTATTCGATATTGAAATTGTTACAGAACACACTTTTGGCGCAAGCCAAACATCATAGATCAAAAGAAAATCAAACACAGAAAAGTTTAACCAAACAAAATATTGATATTTTCTTGTTTCAAAACTTTACTTTGTCCTTAAAAAAAAATATTTAAAAATGTATATAGATATATATATCAAACGAAATCCGCCCAAGTAGCTCTCAGCACCTCTCTATGCTTCCCCCGCTGAGAGCTACCCTTCCTAGAGAGAGAGATCTTCAAGGGATCGTCCTTTTCCCCCCTGAGCTGCTTCTGTTGATCCCCGAAGTTATTTCGAGGACCTCCACAGCAAGAGTTCTTCCGTTTGAATTCAAGTTTCCGCCTTGCCACTCATAAATCCAAAAAAGAAATATACATAAAATATACAAGAGGAGGAAAAACAAGAGCTGAAACGGAGAACAACTGCGCACAGATGCCGCAGGATCCTGACGACGGATCGGGGGCACTTGAGCCGACGACAAGTACACAGGACTCGGGATTCAAAACTCGTACTCAGTCAATCGACGCCTGAAAAAAAAAGGAAAAGGAAAAGCCAAGCCAAAGTCAAATTTTGTAAAAACGCCTGATTGATTTACGAGCTCGAAGAGGATGTAAGGTTCCCAGGATCCCAGCAGGACTTCTGTTTGCTCACCGCTTTCACTCCCATTTCGAATTTCACTCATCATCTATATTCATATTTATTCCCTTTTGTATTTTCACGTTCCCATTGAAATCGATGCCTTCTCGAAATGCAAATAAAAACCGGGGAAAACCATCGGAGCGATGCCAATCCCAAAAGATCGAAGAAAATTAGGTTTTGTTTGCCCAAATTGTTGTATTTTCTCAGACAGCCGCACAAAGATGAAAGTCAGAGGTGAGTGGAGGAGATGAAAGCCTGGATTTGGGGCACAGGAAGTTGGCCAAGCCTAAGGAAGGTCCTCAAAAGGACCCTTAAGAAGTCTGAAGCTTCTAATCAAATTGAGAAACCCCGAAAAACAAAGTTTTCTTTGTACACAAATTAACTCGGAGAACTAGAAGTGGAGAACTAACTATCGATATGGAACGATAGTCAATTTTGAACCATCGATAGTGCCGATAAAGCAATCGATTAACTTAACTTGCTAGATTCCTCTATATATATACATATGTATATAATTTTTTAATATTTTATATACTATATTTCTTCAGGTATTTGTGTGAGCGAGAGGACGAGGGAATTATCCTTGATCCGAGTCCTGAGAGAGCTGCCTTAATGAGACTTTCAACTTTCAACCCCCTACAGGAATCATACAAATTATAATTTCAACGGGGTTGCTGAGGGTTCCAAATATATAATATTATTATTATTATTTTATGATTATTATATTTTTGAAAAATTATTATTTTGAGCTACGAAAAACTCCCAGGATTCAGGCTGCACAAGGACGAATTATTAATTGATGTTAATTCGAGATAATACAATTCTTTGTTCAAATTATTCGAATAATAAACACAAATCTGGCTCCTTTTTTGGCTGTCATGGCTCATTCTATACCAGATTCTCCTAATTTTCTCCCAGTGTAGGGGGCAGGGGGGCGTGTCGTGTCGCCTCGCATCGTCAAAGTGGGACGCAACCGAGTCAAAGTCTCGAGAACAACAAAGGACTCGCTGTGGCAGTTCTCACAACTCACAACTGTTGACTCTTTTCTTGCTCCTTTCTCAACGAGCAGCAGGAGGAGGAGGAGATCCTCGGGGATCGCAAAAAACCGGTAGTTGGTAGCCCTCGTTTCCTTGAACCTTTCAAGTGAACTCAAGTTTATAAATTGTGCAGCAAGTACTACACACACAATGGCAACGCAAAGGACTCGGCCGGGGGGCTGGGACTCAGCCTCAGCCTCAGGTCTGGTGGAAACTACCTGAAGAAGGGCGGCTGGCCAAAAAGTTTATTGTGACAAGGAAACTAGTTTCCAACGGAGTGCTAAGCTCAGAACTTCAGACTAGCAAGAAGTCTAGGTAAAATTATTTTCCCACACCACACAGCTTCTTAAGGATCTCTAGCCTCCGATGGCTGCTGCAGTCCCTCAACCCCTCTGGCTTCTTGTCAATTTTAATTAGGATTTATGGCCGAACAAATTCCAAAGGATCATCGGTTCTCGCCTTTTAATTCCCTTTAATTAGCTCGACAATTGGCAAATGATTTTGCACAAAGCAAAACCGAGGTCCTGATTGGTTTCGGTTTTCGGAAAAGCCCTCATACCTCATCGGGAAACAGCCACAGGACATGGGAACAGAGTCCTGACGAGCCCTGGAGACATCAGAGACTTTCAGAAATTAAGTAAACAACAAGTAGGAGCTGGTAACTTTCAAGGGGGTCAATCTGAGAACGTTTCTGAAGAACGTTTCCAGAGATACATTCACCGCTGTGTGTGTGTGTGTGTGGGAATCCAAGGTGCTGGCCCCTGCCCTGCGTGGTGGCTCAGGTAATCCCGAGATCCAGGGCTGCCAAAGCTCCCTCTGCTCTCAGTTTCATATTATGCACATATCGAGGGGCGGTATATAAACACTATAAACCATATAAAGTCCTATATACAGCGAGAGAGAGCGAGAGACCCAGGCATTCCACTTCCACCCTTATGCCAATCGATCAGATGTTAGTTTTCCCAAAAGCCGCAGTTCCAAATTGAGGTGTGTGTGCTGTGTGTGCTGTGTGTGCGTGCGAGTGAGTGAGTGATCGCTGGGAAGGACACCCCAGTCTAGGGGATGAAAAGTCAGCGAGTGAGAACGTTTTACATAAGGACGCAGGCGGCAGGACCTTCGGCAGTCAGCAAAGTCACTTCCGTTGAGCCATCGAGTCCTGCGAGTCAGCCGCATTTCGAGTTCGGAGTTCGGGGCACGCGACACACAACGCCAGCAGCTGTCCTGAAGCAAGGACACGTTAGCCTCAGCCAGTTTAGCCAAAGGAACCAAAGAAACAAAACCAGAAGCGCCAAGTTACCATGGCCGCCCTGCCCTCACCGCCCACCAATGCCGCCGACGCCGCCAGTGAGAGCAAGGAGAATCCCCAAGGACTGGGACAGGGACACGGTCTCAAGGCCACTCTCAAGCCTTTTGGCAAGATCACCGTGCACAATGTCCTTAGCGAGAGCGGAGCCAATGCCCTGCAGCAACACATTGCCAATCAGAACACAATCATCCGCAAGATCCGTGACTTTGGCATGCTCGGAGCTGTCCAGAGTGCGGCGGCGGCGGCGCAGGCTCAGGCGGCATCATCCGGCAGCACCACCCCCCTGTCCAGGAAGCGACCCCTGGGAGAGTCCAAACAGAACCAGCAGAACCAGCAACAAAAGCCGCTGCCCGCCGCCAAGAGGAGCAAGTCTTCGCTGAAGAAACTGCAGTCCGAGAAGACCCCAAAGGCAACGCCCCAACGGAGCTTGGCCAAGGTGCAGCGGCAGTTGGAGCAGCGGCTGATGCAGGAGCACCAAGAGCACCAAGGATCGGTGGTGGCGGCGGCAGCGGGTGGAACGCCCGGCCGTAAGGGACTGCCCCTGCCGCAGGCCGTGGCCCGACGAAATGCCCGGGAACGGAACCGCGTCAAGCAGGTGAACAACGGATTCGCCCTGCTGCGCGAGAAGATACCCGAGGAGGTGTCGGAGGCCTTCGAGGCCCAGGGAGCCGGGCGCGGGGCCAGCAAGAAGCTGTCCAAGGTGGAGACCCTGCGCATGGCCGTGGAGTATATCCGGAGTCTGGAGAAGCTGCTGGGCTTCGATTTCCCGCCGCTGGGGCGCTGCGCCAATAGCTCTGGCTCCGGCTCCGGTGACGATAGCTTCATGTTCATCAAGGACGAGTTTGACGGGCTGGATGAGCACTTTGATGACTCCCTGAGCAACTACGACATGGAAGAGCCCCAGCAGCAGCAACAGCAGCAACAGCAGCAGCAGCAGCCCCTGCCTGCCGTGGACACAGAGCCCAGTCCCAGTCCCAGCGTAGATGTCCTGCCCAGCCTGACCACCCTCAATGGGATGCAGTACATCCGGATACCGGGCACCAACACCTACCAGCTGCTCACAGCCGAACTGCTGGGTGAACTGAGTCAGGAAGCGGGAGCGGGAGCGGCATCAGTGGCTGTCAGCAGTCCCTGCTCCTCGCCACCTGCCGTTGGGGCCGAGGAGCTGCTGTTCAAGCAGGAATCGCCGCCAGGACTCACCGTGGCTTACAGCCAGCAAGAACCACTGCAGCAGCAACAGCAGCAGCAACAGCAGATCCTTGGATCCTCGCCCGTTCTACCCGCTTTCTATGACCAGGAGCCGGTCAGCTTCTACGACAACGTGGTGCTGCCCGGCTTCAAGAAGGAGTTTAGCGACATCCTGCAGCACCAAGAGCAGGTTGGACCCGGCGCCTCCGGCGGCGGCTGCCTCTCGGATGAGAGCATGATCGATGCCATCGATTGGTGGGAGGCGCACACGCCCAAATCGGATGGCGGTCCTGCTTCCGCCGACGCCTCCGCCGTGCTCCTGTAAAAGTCCAAGTCTTTTTTTATATATTTATATATATCCTTTTTTTTTGCAAGCAAACCCAAGCCTTGACCGAGTCATTGTGTAATTGTAAATAGCCGAGAGAGATTGAGAGAGATTGAGAGAGAATCATCTAGTGATCATCTTCTTCCTGACCTCCACTGTCCTCCCCCCAAATAGTTGACCTCACAAAGAGCTAAATGTTGAGCCAGTCCTAGTTCGTAGACATCCTTGTTCCCCCTTTTAATGGTAGTTAAGGTTCCAACTTTTTTTTCATAGACCTAATGTTCAGTTGAGTTAAGCTAATATTATATATACTATATACTATATATAAATACATGCCAAGTGTGCTAAAAATCAATTCAAAGTCTTTGGTTATTTGGTTATCAAAAGTTATATCGATTTTCCTATTAAAATATAGATTTATCGATACTTTTTCAATCGTTGCTATAAATCAAAATTCCTATAAATTTATCTGACCTTAAGGAGGCTATCAAACAGCTAGTTTTGGTCAAGTTTCTATGGAAAAAATACAAATAAATCGATATTTTATCGAAAAAAAATCGATATTTTCGATATATTGAAGTTTACGATACTATTTTGAGCCCGTAACTCCGTTTTCAAATATCCTAACGGTTTTTGACACATGGATTTCGACTAATGGCTGCCAAACATGCACACTCATCGGATCTGATGGGATCTGATCCGATCTGAATGAAAACAGAAAAAATAACAGACAACAGAGAGAGCTGAGAACAGCCAGAAGGGAATCGGCGTTTCATGTTCATTTTCATAAGCGTCCAAGCATGCAAAGGGATAGGATCGTATATGGTATATGCCGTATTTGCATACGGGACAGGGAGAGGTCCTGCGAGGCACTCCGCTTCACTGCCTGATATTCAAATGAGCCTCATGTCCGTGTCCGTGCCCGTGTCCGTGTCCTGATAAATGACAGTGCGCCCAAAAGGGGAAGAAGAAACGTAAAAAAAAACCGGAGGCAAGAGATCTAGAAAACCCCATGTCGTAACCCTGCAACGTGGGAATGGGAAAAACCGGACCGGAATTGTGCTGCTGCAAGTGCAGGTCTCCTAATGACACAACTAATTAAAAATGCACCGAAAGGGGCATAATAATTAGGGATTTGACAAGGACAACCGCAGAGCAAACGGATTGCTCTCAAAGGCGGAGGTCCTTGTGTGGAAATTTGCATAAAGGAAAGAAAATGGATAAGAAAAAGTATGGGATATACATAAAATTAGTTATTTTATTAAATTTTAGTTTAATATTTTAATATTAATATAATAAAAAATAAGAAAACTAACTTCGGCACGCCGAAGCTTGTATACCCTTTCAGATTTACATTTTCTCTACATCTACCGATCGTTTCTATGGCAGCTATAATATATAGTCTTCTTCTAGTATAGCATCTTCTTTTTCTTCTAATTTTCTAGAAGATTTCTTTTCTTTTCTATATATATTTTTAATCTCTAAAAAATAGAAATACATATATAATTCACATATAATATTTTTTAGGTATATATGTAAAAACAATATCTTGACTGCTTTTATTTAAAGGATCTTTTCTCACCCTCACGCTGACTTGGCGCTAGGAGCTCTTGGCTAATTGTATGCAGGACCTTATTGTCCTGTGCCAACGCATATCTCTCCCCCCTCCCTAGTCTCCCTCTTTGCCACTTTGGACAGCTGCCAGGAGACAGGACAGGGCACAACAAATGGAAAGAAAACATCTAGAGAAAACCAAGAAAACCGAGAAAAACGCGCCAATCCAAAAAGGATAAAAATGATGCAAAATTATCCAAGACGAGCAGGAGGACGAGAAGAAACAGGATCGAACAATGGGGAAAATCAATTGAAAATCGTTTGGCCATTAAGGAGAAGAGATGGCTTGTGCCAAACGGTATTTGCCAGGAGAGAAGTGCATCTGCGGATGCCTCACGTTGAGTAATACGAGTGTGTGTCCTTCGAGCGGGCCTACACATAAAGAAAAAAAAGGAGCCTAGATTGAAGTATATATACTATTAAATAATACATTAAGACAAAGGATTGAAATATATTAAATATTAAATATAAATTAAATAATTAAATTATTTAAATTCAACTTGAACAGAAATTTTCATATATTTTTTATAGTTTATTAAGATTTTAATTTCATATTAATAATTTTTATGATTTATAATTTTAAATTAAATAATTTATAATTATAAAATATTTATAATTTTAAATTATTTTTAATTTTAAATTAAATTATGTATAATTTTATATTATTTATAATATTAAATTATTTTTAATTTTAAATTAAATTTAAAATATTTTTAATTTTAAATTATTTATTATTTTAAAGTATTTATAATTTTAAATTAAATTATTTATAATTTTAAATAATTTATAATTTTAAAGTATTTATCATTTTAATGATTTATAATTTTATATTCCCGGAAATTCCAACAAAGTTCTAAATATTTCCTTAATAGCAATATTTTACAATTTTTTCTACCGCTCTTTATTTTTCTCTGTGCATTCTCCCCATCCTTCTTGCAGTTTCCCATTTCTTGATCCAGGTGCAAAGGTGCATTTTCTTACCTTTCTTTTTTTTATTTTCCTTTTTTTTCTTGGGGTGGGTGCCCCGTTCACCGTTAGCAGTGAAAATCTGCTCGACAGACCGTTATGATTATTAAATATATATATATATATGGGATAGATGGGTAATGCGATCGATCGTATTTTGGAGTGAAATCCCGTTGCTTGAGGCTTCAAATGAAGTCCGGATTCGGTTTCGCTCTTTGATTCCTCTTCCCGTTATGCCCCCTTTTGCGGCACATGTCACCCTTTTGAATATTCATAAATCATTTGGGTGCAATAACTCATTATTATGGCAACGGGACATGGACTCGTTCGAGGTGTAGCCCGCCCTCGCTTTCAGTTAGCGTGTGCGCAGGCCCAGGGGCTGGGGGTTCCAACGATCCGATTACCATAAACCATAAACCAGAGCCAGTTTCCTATTAATATCATCTGGAACTCGTCGAGATCTTATCAAAAATGTAGAATTCATTCATGAGCAGCTTCATTCTTGGTTTCCCTCCAATAGATTTCATTCAGTTTATCCTAGTTTCCATTCAGTTTTCGCTTAGTTAGGGTCTTAAAGGATTTGAGCACTTTCTTGAGTGCCTGCAGATCCGCAAAACCGCTGATCCTTTGTCTCGGTATCTCAGGCTTATGCAGGTCTCGTGCTCTGATTTCTTAACCCAGTTTCAAAAAGTCCCATCTTAACCGCAGACTAAGCCGCAGGATCCTTATTTAAACTTAAGCAGTTTTTCTGGCCATCATTTTAGGGATTTTTACTCTGATTTTTCCGTCTCGAGTGGACACACTTCAGGCCACAATGAAGGCACTTAAGTGCGTGCTTTGTGGCTAAGATGCTTAAGGCTCTTAAGCCGGGACTGGAATCTATGGTTAACACTTTCTGGAAGCCTAAGACCCCCGCCTCTCGGCCGGAGATGATCCTGCGGCTGACAGATCCGAGTTAATTTCATTCAGAACACTTGCGTCCCGCAGCCACATTGCGTTCTCGTAAGACATAATAATGTGTAGCTCCAAATGAAAGGCATAAGGACGACATGTGTTAGACTTTCTATAATTGAAAGTGCTCCAACAAGGACTGGCTGCACATGTTTTCCAGGACACCAGCTCGCCGGCTGCCTCCACGTGGGTCCACATAATGCAGTTTCTAAATATATACAGTATAATACCCTGTATTCCCCGTAGTCTTGTGTTTTGACTCCTGGCACTCCAGGGTGGCCAGGGGCATTCCTAGGACTCCTTTTGGGTTCGAGGACACTCGGCATTGAGTCATCATCGATTGTGTGACTCGCACAATTTTGACAGCACTCCAGGAAGCCCAGTTTTGCATTGCATTGATTGAGATGTCCTCTCTGTTTGGGCAACAGAGACAATTCCCCGGGATCCTGACAAGGATCCTGGCTAGGTGTGGGGTCCATTCGCAAGAAGGACATCCCGGAAACAGCTCAATCAATGCAACAAGGTTAAGTAAGAGTAGAAACATCCTAGACTCAGCAGAAAACTTTAACTTTAATCCCATATCTACACCTACCTTTTAAGTCCAAAATAATATCCTGAAACCTTATTTACAAACCATATCCTTCCGCTCAAAGCATGCCAAAAAAAGGGAAAATTCCGAACCATCTTTATAGAGGAAAACGTCTTATTAAAACCACAATTTTATGGGCGAGATCAGTGGGAGAGATGCGGCCTGCGGCGGTCATCAAAGGGTCAAAGGGAGGCTCGAGTGTCACGCATGAAGGACATACGCATGTCCTTTTACGATATTCCCAATGCCAAAAGGATTCTCCGCCATAAAAAGCAGAATGAATGTGCACAAACATCCGGAGAGCAAGAAACGAGTCCCGAAACGCTGGATTGGATTACCGCCGCCGACGCTGATGGGCCCAAGATCCTGGCAGGTAAAAAACACTCGGCTATTTGCCTAGCGCAAAAAAAAAGGACAATGGCCAAAACAGAACCGAGTGCATGTTCCTCCTCCTCCTCCGAACGGGTTCATTAATCGTGTTTGGCAACAGGAAACGCACCGCGAAGGAAAACGAAAGGACTTCCGTTTCGTAATCGGATGCTTGTTAGGCGGACGAACGGAAAATCGAGAGGAAAATCAAACGGAAAATTGCATTACATGACCAAAAGTGAAAGCCGACCCTCCAAACACCCATAAAAAAAAAAACACGAAAAAAGAGCTGCCGAAACCCAAGAAAAAAGGAGTGAGAAATTCCATGACTGGGCGCAAAATTCCTCCATTATTCCGCGATGAACTGCCGGCAATTTGGGGTACAATAGCATTTGCATTTGTCACGGCCTCGATCCGAACCAAAATCCGATTAATCGCATTATAAATCGACCGGCGGAATGAGGTGTCGACTTAAGTGAGCAGCAGGTCAGCCGCCGATCAGCATAATGCTAACAAATACGAATGCCTCTCTACACTGGGAGAAATTGATGTGAAAATGTAAGTCTTTAAACTAAAATATTTCATTATACTTTTGTATATATTTATAAACTAAATAGTGAAAAGATTTTGGTTTATATTATAGCCTTAGTTTGTCTCCAATTATAACTTTAAGCTATTTTGTGAGCTTTTCTCTCTCTGTAAGCACCTTGGGCCTCATACCTTTTATCTTCCTCCAAGGACAGAGGAGGGCTCTGCATCAATATTTTGACATTGCCAAAGTTTTGGTCCCCGCAAGAAAAAACTGCCGATTGCAACGCATTAGCGCATTAACGAGGAGGAGGAGGAGGACCAGTGATCTTGAGGCACATGTATTATATAAAATTATTTATTCATATATTTTGAGAAAATAAACAAGAAAGGAAGCTAACTTCGGCAAGCCGAAGTTTTTATTCCCTTGCAGATTGGGTTTGATATTTACATTATAAATTTGAGTGCTGAAAACACACACAAAACAGAGTTTTATTACATTTTACCTATGCCTATTATGTTTACAGTTTGACAGTTACAGTTTTGCATTCCCAGCTTTACATTTTCCCTACATTTACCGATCGTTTCTATGGCAGCTATATGATATAGTTGTCCGATTTATATGAAATTTATACCAAAATTCTAGAATAATAAAATAAGCTTATATCTCAGAGTAGATAAAAATACGTTGAAAAACAACGAAGTTATGGTTTTTTTTTATTAATTTCCCGATCGTTCCTATGGCAGCTATATGATATTGTCGTCCGATTTTCATAAAATTTTTACCAAAACTCCAAAATAATAAAAAATGGCCATATCCCAAAATTAATGAGAATATTTTGAAAAACAGCCAAGTTTTAATTTTCTTTCTAAAAATTTCCCGATCGTTCATATGGCAGCTATATGATATAGTCGTCCGATTTTTATGAAATTTATACCAAAATTCTAGAATAATAAAATAAGCTTATATCTCAGAGTAGATAAAAATACGTTGAAAAACAACGAAGTTATAGTTTTTTTTCTATTAATTTCCCGATCGTTCCTATGACAGCTATATGATATAGTCGTCCGATTTTCATAAAATTTGTACCAAACCTCTAAAATAATAAAAAATGGCCATATCCCAGAATATTTTGAAAAACAGCCAAGTTTTAATTTTTTTTCTAAAAATTTACCGATCGTTACTATGGCAGCTATATGATATAGTCGTCCGATTTTCATAAAATTTTTACCAAAATTCTGGAATAATATTAAATGGCCATATCCCAAAAATGATGGAAAAATCTTGAAAAACAGGCAAGTTATAAATTTTTTTCTATAAATATCATAAACGAACGTTTTATTGTCTGCTGGGTAGAGCTTAAAGTTCCCTCTGTTTTTCCCACAGAATCAGAAGACTTGTTCAACTACAGTTTTTGCAGCTCCATTGGCTGCGCTTGCTTTTTCGTATATATTTCATATATTTTTCATATTTTTTGGGTTTCATTCAAACCATGTGACTTAATAAATACTAGAATAGAGGAAAAAAAATCACACTACAGGCTAGGAAAAAAAAAAAAAACGAATGGGATAGGATATGGGCAAAGGACATGGGCATAGGCATGGGAAGGGGGTGGAAGTGGATACAGAAGGGGTGATGGGATATAGAATATATAGCATATATGGGGGGCACCACCCGCTAAGGACCAACGAAAAGAAAGAAAATAGAAAAGTAGTAAAGAAACAAAAAGAAAAAGATTGGAAAATTGGTTGACTCTCTGGCTGGCTTGTTGGCTTTCTCGGTTCGGTTCGGTTCGGTACGGATCGGCACGGGTTTCGTCGTCATCGGATCTATGTACAGGGCTCTCAGGAATCAGGAATCGGAATCGGAATCGGAATCCTAGGCGCTGGCATTGGCATACTGGCGCTTCTCCAGCGAGATGTTGAAGCCGTTCTCCAGCTTCAGGATAATGTCGGCCTGCAGCTTAAAGTCCGCCTCCGTGTCGGTGGAGTGGACAATGTAGTTCCTCACGATGGTGGAGAGGAGGACCTTCAGCTTGAGCATCGCGTACTTGCGACCCACACAGCTCCTGGGCCCGGCGCTGAAGGGAATGAAGGCGTAGTAGTGCCTGTTGGCCATGCGCTCCGGCAGGAAGTTGTCCGGGTCAAACTTGGTCGGATTGGGATAGATGTCGGGGCGACGGTGGACGCTGTACTGCAGCACAATGCAGGTGGTGCCCTTGGGCACCGTGTAGGGGCCACTGGCCAGCTTGAGGTCGTAGTCCAGGCGGCGGGCAATCAAGGGTACTGGTGGGTACAACCTCAGGGTCTCGAGAATCACGCGCTCCAAGTACTTCATCTCCATGGTGTCGGCGAAGGTGCAGTCGCGCAGCATGTTGTCGCCAAAGATGGCCTTCTGCTCGGCAAAGACCTTGGCCTGGATGTCCTTGTGGATGCCCATCATGCAGAGGGCGAAGCTGGAGCCGGCGGAGGTGGTGTCGTGTCCCTCGAACATAATGGTGTTCACCTCGTCAATGATGTCCCTCTCGTTCCACTCAATATCGGGATTCTTGGCCATCTCCACCATGGCATCGAGCAGGGCCAATCGCCGCTTGGCGCCCACATCGTTCTCATCAATGTCATCCAGATCGTCGCGCAGGCCCTCCTTCTTGGTCACCGGGGCACTGCTGCTGGGCGCAATCTCCTCGATGATGGCCCGCGACTCCTCCTGGAAGTTCTCCTTGCGGTCGCGCACCACCTTGCTGGTCATGCCCAAGATGATGTCCATCATCCGGTCGCCCTTCTCGCGGAGCTTGGTGAACTTGTAGATGGAGTCCAGGCGGTAGAGCAGCTTAACCTGACGCTTGTGGATGATGTCGCACATGTCGACGACGGCCTGGGCATACTCGAAACTCTTGTTGCCCTCCGGCAGCTTCTTCACACCCATCGCCGTGGACAGCAGGATGTCGACGGTGGTCGTGGACATGTAGTCGTGCACATCGAAGGACTTGCCCGCCTCGAGGGCCATGCGACCCACCACGGTCTTCGAGTGATCGACGAACGTCGGCACGAAACTCTTCAGGATGCTCTGGTGGAAGGTGGGGGCAATCATCTTGCGGTGGTGGCGCCAGTGGTGTCCGTTGCTGATCAGCAGGCCGTTGCCGAACCAGGGCTTGAAGTAGCGGTACTCCTCGGCCTTGGTCAAATGCTGATGGCCGCCCAGAATGAGCTCGATGTCCTTGGGATTGGTGAGGAAGATGAGCAGGACATTGCCCAGCCAGGCCTTCATCGTCTCGCCGTACTTATTAAGGTAGCCCAGGCCAACGGCCAGGATCTCGGCATTGCTCAGTCCAGCTGCCACGTGAGCCTGTCCCAGGATAGGCAGCTCCGGCGGCGACGGTATGTTGGCCACCATCCGGTACTCGCGGGTGTTGCGGCGCCAGTACTCGTACAGGGCCATGGCCACCAAGGTGCCCACCAGGGTGGTCAGCATGGGGCTGAATCCCAGCAATGAGCTGCCGCCACCGGCAGCAGTCTGCTGCAGCGTCTCCTGCACTGTTTCCACAACCATGATTGCTTTAGGTCTGTCTCTCACTTATCCACTGGGTTGGTCCTCCTTAGATCCTCCTGCTTAGATGGCACTGTTGCTATTCCAGCCGCCAGCGCTCAACTGTGCCTTAACCACTGCCGAGTCCACAATTTTATACGGCTCGGCCCGGGTCTGAGGGCCAATCCGGGAGTCAAGTGTATGCCAGGCCACCACCCAGTCCCAGTCCCGGCGATTTGCAAACCAAATCCGAGTCACGTAGCCGTCCAACCGAGCGCACTTTGGAGTCGATCCACTGCGTCATTCCATTTCCGATCGCCATTAAATGACAGAAGGGGGGCACAGTTGGTGTTTGCTCTTCTCCTGGTCTCTGGTCGTTCCCAGCCCCACCTTTCACCTCTGGCGGCCACCTTGGGCAGCAATAGTGGCTTGCAAGTGGTTTTCCAAAGTATTTTACGGATTTTCAGTGAGAGATTTCTTGTGGTATTAGTTCTTCTCTACACTGTTCTCCTCCTGCTTCCTGCGGAAGTGCACAGGATGCCAGGATCGTGTATGCAAAGTGCTACTACCTGTGCGCGCGGTCACTTGCAGAAAGATTTACCTGCCGGCAAGCGGAAGTGGGTGAGAGCAGTTCCTTTCCATCTTCATCCCCATTACCATTCCCATCCCGATCTCCGTCTCCGCTTTCGCTTTTCATTAAATTCAATTTCGCCGCCTTTGTCCCCGGACACCTGAGCAGGCACGGCGGCGCACGGGGCTAAAAAAAAAAAAAAAAAAAAAGGGAAAAGCGTATAAAGTAAGGTAAATAAACAATAAAAAAACGAGTAGACAGCAGACAAAGGAGAGGAAGTTGTCGCTTTTATGATCTTCCTCCTCCGCCTCATTCAGCGTCCTGGCCTCAGCTCCTTGTTTTGAGTGATCCTTTTTGCTATTCGATTTTTTTATTTGCAAATGGATTATTTGTTGAGCGCGTGTTCAAAGCGTGGTTCTACCCATAAATGCAAATGGGTTCAGTCATTCGCCATATTTTTAGTTTATTTCAGTTTCAAAATCGTCTCAAAACGAGACACTTTTCTTAAAAATTATTGTGGCGAAACGGCTAAAGTTGGCTTAATGAATTACATATCATATAATAAAACAACATTTGAACAATTTTTGATAAATTTTGTATTGAAAAATATTTAGAGGTAGAGGAGTTATAGGAAATCTCCCCAGCGGCCTCAAAATTAAAGATGGTTTGCTGTTTACATCCTAACTTGTCACAGAATCATCCTATATCAAAAAAAAAATATCTTGCATTCGTTAAAGGATAGTTGTCTTGAGGTACTCAAGTTGCGTTTTTATTTTTAACATTTTTTCCTGATTTTTTATTAAAGTCCAAAGTCAACATCTTGATTTTTAACTCAAAATTTTGGTTATTTTGTTAAATAAAAAATATAAATAAATAAAAAAGTAATAAAATAATAATGAGGGTACCTGGAGAATAAGCTAAAGATGTTAGGTACCAAATTTTAAACAGATTGGTGGAGTAGTTTTTGAGTTTTGGCCTTTATAATAAATAATTAAAAAAAAAATATATATATATATATAAACCCCCCTTTTCCCACCCCTTTGGCGGCTCTACTAAAAAAATATGAAAAACACATGAATTAAAATTGGTAAAAATAGTTTTTATTGAATTTCTGATCGAAGGGACTCAAGCGCGACTCGAATTCGTATTCAAATCAAAGCAACGAAATTGAATCGCTGAATAAATTACATGAATACACAATTTGTAGCTTACAACGTAACCGATTTACATATGGATATATATGCTAATTAATTTATGCGTATATATGCTTTAGGCGCTAGGTGGATATATGAGTATGACTTTTACGTTATGTGGCGTTTAATTAAAGTAAGGATTCACGTTCCCAAAAACACATAATACAGCGTTTTTTCGACTACGAACTAACAATGTCTTTTAGCTTTTTTTTATCGAGAATGAATGAAAAGAACACAGGCACGCAGGGAAACGAGGGGGAAACAAGGAACAAAACGCAATCTGGCGGGGGATCTGGGACACACATAGAGTCACCAAGTAAATATGGCTTCGCACGCGTTTAAAGTACAAAAAAAAAAACAGAGGTATTTACATGTTAGCACTTTACACACGTCACAAAATTCAAAAAGAAAAGGAGCTAACAGGGTGTGGAAGTGGGTTCCCTTCTCCTCCTACGCCGTCTCATTGAGATGCACACAGTGGGCGTCCTGCATGAGCTGTGTGAGCTTCTGCGTAAACGTTGGAATGTCCTGCAAAAAAAAAAAACAGAGATTACTTTCCCTGTCTTCAATTGCGCCCTTTTCAAACTCACACTTGTCTGGCAAATCTCCTCTAGCACTGTCTGCCCCACCGGCAGCGAGGCCTGTGCCAAACTCTCCAGCAACTGCCTTCGATCCACCTGACCCATCGAATACAAGGCCTGGGCAATCATATCAAAGTGCAAGGCACCCTCCCCGCTCATCAAAAGATTCAGCAAAGCCCGCTGAAAGGAGGCCATTAGCTGCTCTTTGAACAAAGCCCGCTGATATAGACGACTGCGCTCGTTTACATTCTGCATGGAAAGCAAAACGCTGCGCACATTGCTGGGATCTGTGCCGCTGACCAGCATCTGGCCATAGGCATTCAAGATGGCCATAAAGTGCACCGGATGCAGGTTGTCGCTGCAGTTGAAGTTGTGTGTGGTGGTGGTGTGGCCATTGGAGAGTTGGTTTTTGTAAAAGAACTGCCACTTGCAGGTTAAAACACTGGAAAAAAATACAATAAAAATGTATTTTAATTATTTTTCGGCTTTGTAGCCAGGCCTCTTACCTGTCGAAAAGCGCGTAGAGCAGGCTGGTTATCTCGCTGTTATCCGTGGCCGTATTCTGCTGTTGCAGCAGCGGCAGAATCTGCTGAGTGCCAAAGTCCAGGATAGAGGGCAGCAGCCCCAAGGAGGCACTGCCCGGCTGCTCTACAATCAGCTTGAACATCTGCAAAACCTTCTCCATGACGGCCAGCCGGCTCAGGGTAAGCTGCTCCCTGAAAAGGAAAGAGAGAGAGAGAGCAGCAAATGGGAGTTACAGCTCCGAAATGGACAGAGAGCAAGAGGGGAATGGGGGCTAAGGATAGTGGATAAAAAAAATACCAACCTGCTGCTGACATTGATAAACAAAGTGATCATCTCCTTGATGAACTGTCCACCCAAATGAGTGGGCAACGAGCGGAGCATGCTGAGACTAAACTCGGCCACTGTGATGGCCATGGCTATGCTGCTCAGGCCAAAGCTGTTGAAGATCATTAAGGCCTTGGTGAGAATGGGCTGCAAGGCAAACATTTTATCATTTCCTTCAAAAAACTCCTTGAAACTCCTTTAAACACAACAAACCTTAAAAGTGCTGGCCAGCATATCCTTGGCATTTCCTCCTGTGGCCTTAAAGTACTCAATCAGAGCCGTAAAAGTGCCCAGCAAACTTAGTGTAGTGGCAGCCACCTTGCTCTCATTGGCCTGACCCAAATCCAAGTCCAGAAAGTTCTGCGCCAGCCCCTGGACATACTCGCGCAGCATCCAGAGCCTTCGCTGATAGTCCTGCTGCTGCTCGGGCACACTTTTCCAGGGCAAAACCATATAGCTAACCAAGGCAATGTAGACATTGATGCACACCTGACGCGGCAGCTGGGCGCCCAAACGAGAACCCGCCTGCAGCAGATTCTGAATCTGGGGGATCTCTAACAAGCACTTGGGTCGTATCACAGTGGCAATGAACAACAACAGCTCGCTGGCCGCCTGCTGAACAATGGGTGAGGCGGCGGCCAACGAACCACTGCAGGCAAAGATGCTGCCCAAGATGGCAAACAAACGATGCAGCAGCTCCTCACCCACCAAAGCCTTGGAGAGGGGAAAGATACTCCTTATGGCCAGCAAAACTTGGGCATACCTAAAGGTTACGATTAAAACACGGAAATGGAGGAGGATTTTAGCTTTTAGGGACACTTACAGGTTATCCAGATCCATCTGAAACGTGGCCTTGTCCATCTCATTGCCGCCCTGCAGGCGATTGCTTGCCAGCAGCTGCAACGTTTGCAGCAAACTGTCGGATAGCATCTGCAACTGGCACTCCATTTCATCGGCCACGCTTGGAGCCGCCGTGGCCGTGTCCATTAGTGGAGCCAGACGCACCACCGCCTGGCAAACGGTGGCAAAGTCTCTTAAAATTTCACCCATATTGGCTGTCTTGAGCTTGCGGGCCGCCTCGTAGCTGCGACTGCTGCCATGGTCCAGGGCATGCTCCAGCGACATTAGATACATTTGCGGGCGGGACCAGTGGGCAAATACTTGTGCGAAAACCACATGGGCACCACGGGTGGTGGCCAGCAAGGCCAAAGACTCGAAGCATTGGTCCAGAAACTGCTGCCACTCGGTGGCGGAGGTCTGTGGGAAAAGGAGGAGGAGGAGGAGGAGGAGTTAAAAAAGGGTACCAACTCCCACTTCCCCTGCCACTCACATCATCCTCCATCAGCTCATTGTCTAGAACTTCCAGCTCGGGCTTGTTGGCCTCGAATTGCGTACGCCGCATAATCTCGTCCACCAGCTGGGTGAGCACCTGGTTGAAGCGCATTACCTTGGCCGGCTGCTGGGCAATGCCCTTGATAATGGGCGTCCAAATTTCCAGCTTCTCTGTAAAGTCCAAAGCGCCATGCACTTGAAAGGGAAAATAAGAGACTGTTAGCTGGAGGAGGAGCTCATCCATGTCCACTCACATTCCCTGGTGCAGCCGTAGAGCAGGCTGAGAAAGTTCTCCAGCAGCTCCGGCTCCTGCATCAGCTTGCCGGCGTACTTGGTGGTGTAGAGACGCAACAGCTCCCTGAACTTGTCGCTATACATTTCGCTCTGCCGCCGATTGTTGTTGTGCTGCTCCAGGAGGCTGCTTACACCACCCATCAAAGTGCCCGCATAGGGCAAAGGCTTCTGCAGATAGAGGAGCTCATTGAGCACCGACAAGGCGGCCAGGGAGATGGGCTCGTGGGCAGGACGCCACTGGGAGAGATCGAGTATGCCCATGAGGAAGTACTCCGAGATCAAATCAGTGCGTATCCAGGAGACCAAATGCTGCACACAGCCGAGCAGCTCCAAAATGGAGGAACTATAAGCCACACAAAGAACGAATTAGCTAAGAGAGAGAGAGAGAGAGGGGAGAGTGAAGAGCATCTATCTTGGCTCTGGAACCCACCTTAGATGATTGTCGTTTGGCAGCGCTGAGGTTAGACTAAAGTCCATGAGTGTGTTTGGTATGGTCGCTTGGATGTCTTTGCCATTGATGTGGCACACGGCGATTAGTAGATACTTGGTGACCAGGTCCATCACATCGGGTATACACATGGAGATGCTACACGCGGCACAGGGGGACACAGAGGGGACACAGAGGGTTAAACACAAGGAATGGGGATTGGGTGGAGGAAACAACCAGGGATCTCCTCTAAAAAGAGGTTATCTACTTACCAGGAGTAAAAGTACTGCTTCCATTCCGTCGTCAGATCCCCGCGATTGCTCACCACCTCCTCGGAGGTGACGCGCAGCAAATTGATGCCCAACTGGAAGCGGGTCTTGGTCAGCTCCATGCAATGCTGCATGTAATTGGGATCCTGTTCGGGAAACTCCCGCTTCCCCATCAATGCTATCAGCTGCGCCAGTGTATCCCGATGCCGCCGGGCAGCGCCCGGTGCCCCCAGCTGGGCATATGTATTCCACAGGGCCTCGCGCAACAGCGTCTTGTCCGCCGCATTCAGTTGGGTCCAGCGTCGGGTGATCGTGTGCTCCAGCGTCGAGGTGCTGAAGAACCAAAGGAACTGATTCTCGGTGCCCTCGGGTGCGGTGGCCACGCGCAGGCACAGCTGCCATGCCTCCGGCTGTGACTTGAAGGCCAGCAGATTCGTTTCAATCTCGCGCTTGCGGGCATTCGATGTGGAGGGCTGATAGAACTCCTGCAGCAATCCCTCCACCGTTGTCATGGATGCGGCGTGCTGCGGGGGCGAGTGGAGCAAGATAAGTGATAAGTGTGAAGGCTGAAGCCTCTGCTAGGGGCGGGGCTGATTCAGGAGCGGATTAACACTCACCATTTTTCCCCCTGGCTGTTCCGCTCGCTGGCTGGGATGGATGGTTGTGTGTGTGGCGGCGTGCCGTGTGTGTGGGGCGTGTGTGTGCGCCGTGGGCTCTGGCCTGGTCCTCCCACTTTGGTTTCACTTTGCGTCAGCAGCTGCTCGCTAGCAATTTCATGTTTTTCTTTGTGTGTACACGAAGGTGGCCAAAAAAAAAAAGTTTTTGTCTGAAATCTCTGAAACTCTGCTGTGGACGGCCTGGCAACTCTGGCGAGTCAAGGTTGCGGTATTAACCAACACTGACCTTTGCAGTTACGGCTTATCGATCTATCGATAACTTAAATAAACGAAAGTTTTGGGAATTTCAACCAATTTCAAAGGTTTAACTTGGCTGAATTTTTAAATAGCATAATGTAGTTTTTTTTTTATAATTTTCTTCGATTTTTTTTAATCTAAAGCTCCCGCCCAAAGCCAACTAGCTCTTGCCAGCACTGCTCCACGGCGCTGACCAACACTGTTGCCGGCAACAGGTAACGGAGTTGCTGGAAAAACCAATCTTCAAGTCGGCGGCGTAGATTTATTTAACCCTTTTATCTATGGAAAACAAGGCCTCTAAGCGTAGGCGTTCGGTAGACTGCCACGACGATGATGCCAACAACAATCCCATACAGAGAAAGGTCTGGGTAAGCCAGAAGGTGAGCGATGCCCACGACCCAGCCAAGATGCGGGAGGTTCACGGTGAGTTTCCCCCAAAGGATTGTGTTTTTTTTGTTAAAAATCTAATTCAGTTGGCTGTGGCTTTAAAGTTTAAACAATAGGAACTTGCTATGTTATTTATTCTCTAAATTCTCATTGGTAAATATCGAAAATTACTTTAGTATTTTGGGAAACGAAAAAAGCGAGTCCTTTGTCACCTTTCAAGTCGATATATCAGTGTTATCGGAGTTATCGGTGCGGTTCCAGCTCGAATAAACCCTTTTTTTCGACGACCTTTGCAGAGAGAACAACAAAGATGCTTTTCGAGGGTGCCGCCGCCAGTCACGCACCTTCAGTTGCCACAGCTCCTGCCCTGCACGAGCACTACCACCTGCTGGGCGATGGAAGCATACTGCTGCGTGACTTGCATCCCGATGCTGCCAATCCTTGCCTGGAACGCCTCAAGTCTCGCTGCTGCCAGCGCCAAACCCTCATCCATGGCAGCTGCATCAACTGCAGCATGGATCTGTGCGAAGAGTGCGGCTACTCCTGCACCGAGTGCACCCACTTTATATGCCGCAGCTGCGTGACCGTGTTGTGAGTAGATTCCTTCTTGATCCTTCATTCCGGTCGCTAATCCCTACTAATCCCCTTTTCCTTAAACCAGTGATGATCGTCCCGAGAATCCGCTGTGCGAACGCTGCCAAATGTTCTATACCTGAAGGGGGCTTTCCCGGAGCCTCCAGCCCGATGTGTTCCTTAGACTCTAAGTAGAGGCATCTCCTCGCTCATTTTCCTTGCATTTTGTATTTAATGGAAAAATATATATAATAATCAAAACAGAAATAGAGACTACACCTTGCCCCTGAACTTGTGGTACTTGTCGTGCTCCTTCACCAGTCCCTCGTACAGGCGGGCGCCCGCCTCGCTGCTGGAGCGCAGGATAAAGTGGCCGGCGCGATGGTCACAGATGCCAATCAGCTCGTGGCAGACGCGTACTATGTGCACCTTGACCTGGAAGGAAATTGCAGAGGAGTTAAAAGGATCTCTAAGAATATGGAACGGCACGACTTACCTTCTCAAACAGCGTGGTGGGTCGCTCGGTGGCCACCATCTGGCGAATGGTAAAGATGAGCAGGAAGGGCGCCACACGCTTCACGGCCAAGGCCTGGGTGCCCGCTATTGTGGCCACCACAGTGGCCAGCTTCAGGCCCAAATCCCCCAAACCGTCCAGCTCCGTTTCGCTCAGATCCTGGGCCTGCTTTCGCCCAGCCCGATAGCCCACAATGCCTTGAACCATGTCCTGGCACAGCGCACTCAACTGGGGTGCCCTGTCGGCCATCAGGTGGCCATGCTGCTTGAGCAGCACCAACAGATTCTCCGTAATGGCCCCAAACAGATCCACAAAGTCCTGCCAGCTGCTGCGACCCATCAAGTGCTTGATGTCCACGTCCAGCAGGGCGCCCAGCAGGCAGTCCAGCGTCTCACCGGTCAGCGGCACAGTGCGATTTCCGGCCAGATGGCGTTGGGCCTCCAGCAGGCGGAGGGCGTGGCCGCGGTACTCCGGGTCCTTGGGCTCGGGCAGACGCAGAGCCACGCTCACACTGATCAGCTCAAAGTACTCGTTGAGCATCTGGGAAGATGGAGGATGGATGCCTTCAGTGCTGGCAGGGATTAAGGATGTTGTCTGGACTCACCGCTCCCTTGACATTGCTCAGCGAGCACTTGGCAAACAACGCCAACAGGGTCAGCACATTCCGGAGGACCGTGTGCTGCTCGGGCGTCTCTGGGCGTGGCATCTGCTCCACCTGGTGGGAAAGGCGGCGCAGGAGCAGCAGGAAATCCTCGTTGGTCTTGTAGCCAATGATTAGCTTAATGGCGGGCTCCAGGCTCTCCAAACCACTGATGTCGCCGCCCGCCTCGATGTCTGCATTCAGCTGCCGCCAGTAGCTGCTCAGCACAAACTCAATCTCGTCCGGGTCCAGGTGGAGTCGCTGCCGATGGGTGAGGGCCACGTTTAGCAGGCGGATGGCATGGACATTGCGATAGTTGAGCTGCACGGGAGAAGGGGTTTAAGATGTTGAGGAAGGCACACCAAGCCACCAAACTCACCGAGTGACCAATGTAGATCTTGCTAATGCGTCGGAAGTTGTCATCAATGGACGGCACCGCCTCCATATCCTGTTGATCCTCAGCCTTGGCCTTGGCCTTCTTACTCCGCTTGCCCCCCGACGGTTCCTCCTCCTTTTCCGTCTCCTTCTTGTCCAGCTGCTCCTTCTCCCGCTCCTGCCGCACACAGCGATTGATGCAGCTGCTCACGTACGTGGCATAGCCGGCCAGGGTGGCATCCACAAACTCCTTGTAGGCAGACGCCTCCTTTGGCTTCTTTGACCGGAACTTGCGACCCACCATCTCGCCGTAGATCTCCACCAGTGGCTGAAGCTGCCTCTGCATCCTCCTGCCCTGCACACCAGTCACACTGGACAGCGTTTCAATGGCCAGCAGCAGGAGGCGGCACTGCTCCGCCTGGAGCTTACCATTTTCCGCCAGTTCTGTACGCAGGTACTCCGTGCAGCTGGCCAGGAGAGGCTCCCAGCCGGCGCTCTGTCGCCGGATGCAGCGAGCAAAGAGCGCCTCGTAGAAGCTCCAGCCAGCCGCCGTGCTGGTGGGGATTAGCAGGATAAGCTGGCTGAGCTGACCAAAATACGAGCAAATGGCCAGCGGATGGCCAAAGTGCATCAAATCTGCATTTTGGGAGTAAAAGTAGAAAGCTTCGTCATATTCAAACAGGTTGCTTACCTATCAGAAGCTCCAGGACCAGCTCGACCACCTCCTGCTGCTGATTGGAGCAGCTGAGGTCGCGGTAGAGCGCAAAGATCACCAGCCAGAGGCGAGAGCGCATGGAGCTGGGCAATTGGGACAGTGGGAGGCGCTGCAGGGACTCCACCAGCTGCCGGGCACAAGGCAACTGCAGCTGCCTCTGGGCCTTCTCCTTGATGAGGCCAATCAGGGCGGTCTCTTCCAGTGGCTCCTCCTCCGTCAGCCTCAGCTTGGCCAGAAGCGAGCCCTTCTTGGCTGCCTTGGCATATTCCCCGAGCAGCTGTAAGGCGAGCAGCTCCACGCATTCGGCATCTTCCAGGTGGGTCTTCTCCCAGTCCCGCTCCGAGGTGACTCTCAGGCGCAACTGCTTCTGGCTCCGGGTGAGCCGGAATAGCTGCTGCGGCGCCAATGCCTCGGCCAAGGCATCTGAACAGCTCGCTCTGCGCTGATCCTCCTGCAGGAGCCAGCCACTCTCCGCCAGCTGCAGCTCCAATCGCTGCAGGCGCTGGCGACACGAGCTCTTGCCAAAGTTGTGCACCCGCTGCTGGATCAGCGTCCAGTCTGCCGGTGGAAGGGAAGCCCCTCAGCTGCAGCTTCCGTTGGCTGCCAGCGGGGTGACCGTCGGGCCAATAGTGGGCCAGGAGCAGCTCCAGGCCACTGGCCCGCTCGGTGCACTCGAGGAAGGCGTTCATCAGGCGGCGATTGTGCTCCTGGCTAAGCAGGCGACGGCCAAACTGCTCCAACACCTGGGCAGTGTGCTGCAGCTGCTGCTCCACCTCCGTCTGGTGGAGGTGCAGCTGCTCGGCCAGCCGGGTTCCACTTAGGTACTGACACAGCAGGGCGGCGTGCAGTTCGCGGGCAAAGTCCAGGTTTCCAGGCAGCGTCTGCTCCTGCTCCTCCTGCAGCAGCTCACCAAACGAGTGGAGCAGGGTCCTCCAGATCACCAGCGAGGGCTTGGTCATCAGGTGACTGATTAGGCGCGTGAAGGCCACGCCGGCCGAATGGCTGGGCCAGGTCTGTGAGAGCTGCTTGAAGGCATCGTTCGAGGAGGCCTGCACAGCAGGAGCTGATCCCGCAAAGATCCCACGCAAATACTGCTGTCCCTCGTCGTCGTCTGCCTGGGCAGACTCAGAGTTCAGGCGGCGCCGCTTCTGGCTGGGATTGGGCAGCTGGTAGACGGCCAGCCACTCCCTGAGCGACTTGAGCAGGTTCATGACGAACCTCTCGGCCCGACTCAACCGCCGGAACATGTCAAGCAGCAGGACGAGATACTCCGAGTACAGCTCCTCCTCCTCGGCCGTCTGCTTGGGGGCTGTGAGCAGCCAAACGGTGATCTGATAGACGCTCTGCTCCAGCAGCATGGGATTCAGCCGCAGGGCCGCGCACAGCAGCACAAGCAGCTCCTTCAAATGCGTTTTCCGGTGCTCTCGAGCCAACTGGAGGAACTTATCGGCCAGGAAGTCGAAGGCATTCCTCTTTCCGTTATTAACCAAGAACTGCAGGGATATGTTGTGCTTGCGCAGTGACATCAACAGGTAGGCACCCAGGGGCAGTGAGCAGGCCTCGTCCTCCGGGAAGACGGTACGCAGGATGGGCGACAGTTCTGTGGACGTGTAACGATTGTTGAAGACGGCGGCCTCCAGGAGCAGCAGACTGACATGCAGCGGCTGGCCGGTGATGCGCTTCTTGTCAAATGACTCCTTCAGCTGCTTTTCCAGCTCGGCCAGCTCCTCCACCAGGCTGGCGGACTTCAGGGTGTGCAAAAGCTCAACCAAGGGACGCACCGTCCTGGCATTGTAGCATTCACAGAGCTCGGGTAGCTTCTGGGTGCGTCGGGCAATCTCCGCCAGCTGCTTGATCATCGGCACCACCAACTCGGCATCGGAGGACGTGGGCAGCTGTTCCCGCTGCTCCACGCAACGCTGGTGGCACCGGAACAGGCTGGCGTAGCAATCGCACAGCAGCTCGTAATCCGCACGCAGCACGTCCTGGAGCAGCTCACAGTCCAGCAGGCTGGGCACCAGCTCGAGGGCAATCACATTCGCCTCCGCATCGCGGGAGACTAAGGCCAGCAGAGCCCTAATCAGCCGGGATTTGCACTCCTGACCGACCAGGCCGGGTTGAGCGCGCAGCGCAAAGAGATCCTTCAGCTGCTGCGTGGGCAAGGGCTCCTCCTTGTTGCACTTGGGCAGGGATTCGCCCAGCCATTGAATGATGATCTCGTACTTTCCGGGATAGGGAAACTCGACGGATTGCCAGACTCGGATGGCGAAGTCAACACGTGCCGCGTAGGGCTTGCTCCTCTCCAGCAGCCAGGACCTCAGCTCTGAGGGTGCGAACGCGGTTATTTACAATCACTGCAGGAGGGGCATGTCCTTCTTACCTTCGCCGGTGTCCATCTTCTCCAGGTGAGATTAGCGCAATGCAAGACAACAAATCTTGAATTCCGCACGTGTTATTGTCGCGGGCGCCAGTGTTGTGAAGGCCGCGAGTGCCTTCATCAGTGAAGGCACTCTTTCTGGCTATTTTCAAGCTAAATGTAGTTAGGGGTTAAAAATTACCGCTAATCTTTAAATAAATTAAAAAAAATTAATAAAAAAAAGTTATTATTTAATCACCAAAAAATAATATATTTTTGGTCAAAAAATAATTATTATTATTTTGAGCGAAAAATTAATTATAATGATTATATATTTGGGCCATATTTTTCTCTTAAAATATTCATTGTTTTTTATTACTAATTTCTTAGTTTTATTTTTTTTTCTCAAAATAATAATAAATATTTTTTGACCGGAAATTTAATATATTTTCAGTGATTAAATAAATCGAAGACAATAATAAGAATTATTTTTTGACCACCAAATTATTTTTTTTTTTGTGTTTAAATAAAACTAAAAAATTAATAATAATATATAATGATTAAATAAAACTTGAAAATTAATAATAAAAAAATAATGATTATTTTAAGCGAAGAATAGTAACAATAATTATTTTTTGGCCGAAAAAAATTAAAATTTTTGAGTGATTAAATAATCTAACTTACTAATAATAATAAAAAATAAATATATAAAATTATAAAAAATATACAAACTGCTAAAAATATCGATTAACTATCGCAATACTTTATTCCAATGTTCGGTCGCCTACCAACACTGGTTCCCTGGTGGCAGCCCTATGCCCCGCAGCTGGGCTGCCCAGCTGGTCAGAGTGAGACAGAGAGAGAGGGAGAAAGAGGACGGAACATCACCTGGGGACGAACTTTCCACTCAAATTCAAATTTTGTAACTTCATTCCCATCAAAATTACTGTCGTCGCCGTTTTGTTCACTTCCCCCCTGAATGAGACAGGAATCACAATGTTGTTGAACTACACAAGGCTATCATCCCACGGCTGCACGACGCTCCGGGTCTCGCAAATAGGTCGGCTCGCAAAGACACCATTCACTCTGCATACGCCACACAGCAGCCCGTCGTCATATAACCAGCACCTGGGCCGGTGCCTTCAGCGGCGCTACCAGAGCATCGTGACCCAGCCACCTCGAGTGCCCTCGTCGTCGTCCTCCTCCTGCAGCCGGCCGCTCCTGTTCCTGCAAACGCTCCGCGGCCTTCATCAGAGCAGCAGGCTGTTGTCCAGAAACACGAAGCTGACATTGGCCGAGACAACGCTAAAGCCGCGCAGAAAGATGCCCCGCTCCTCGTACGGCCGCCTGCTTGGCCTGACCAAGTCGGAGAAGTGGGTGCTGTTAGGTGTGTCGTCGTGGTGTGTTCATCGTGCTTCTGCCACTAATCCCCAAACCCATTCTCTATTGCAGCGGGCATTGCCTGCCTGGTGGTCTCCTCGGCCATAACCATGAGTGTGCCGATGTTCCTCGGCCTGACCATCGATGTGGTCTTCAAGAAGAGCGGCGAGGGCATGGATAGCGTTGCCCTGGCCAAACTGGGCGAGTACTCCATGCTGCTCTTTGGCATCTTTGTGCTCGGCGGCGTGGCCAACTTTGCCCGCGTCTATCTCTTTGGGAATGCCTGTAAGTAGGGTTAGAAAGTGTTGTGCGATAAGATTACCTCCTTAACTCCTTACCTCCATCCAACCTTTAGCACTGCGCATGGTGCGCCAGCTGAGGTCGCGCATCTACAGATCCATGCTGATGCAGGAGACGGGCTGGTTCGATACCAAGGGCACCGGCGAGCTGATCAATCGTCTCAGCAACGACACCTACATGGTGGGCATCTCGCTCAGCCAGAACGTGTCCGATGGCCTGCGCTCCCTGGCCATGATAGCCGTTGGCTCTGCCATGATGGTGAGTGTTTAGCAGGTGGCTCTCCCGCTCTCTCTCTCTCTCTCTCTTATTCCCCTGGTTTCCCCTGACAGATCTATACCTCACCCCAGCTGGCGGCCATGAGTGCCCTGGTGGTGCCGGCCATGGCTGGTTTGGCCATTGTCTACGGACGCTATGTGAGGCGCATCACCCGGATGGAGCTGGACATGTATGCGCAGATCATGAAGTATGCCGAGGAGCGTTTTGGTAACATCAAGACGGTGAAGATATTCTGCCGGGAGCAGCAGGAGGCGTCTACCTTTGACAGCAAGCTGAACGAGGCTCTCCAGATTGGCTACAAGGAGACCAAGGCCAGGTCCATCTTCTTTGGCTTGGTGAGACTTTCAAGGGAAACAGGAAGACCCGTGTAATGAGTGGTGTTTTTCCCAACAGACCGGCTTCACGGGCAACTTCATCATCATCACGGTCCTGTACTACGGCGGCACTTTGGTTCTGGAAGAATCCCTGACCATTGGCGCTTTGACTGCCTTCATGCTGTACGCCGGCTATGTGGCCATCTCCATGAACGGCCTGTCCAACTTCTACAGTCAGCTGAACAAGGGCATTGGCGCCTCGGAGCGCCTCTGGGAGATCCTGGACAGGGAGTGCACCATACCCATCAATCAGGGCATTGTGCCGGACGAAAAGCCCATCGGCAATGTGGGCTTCTCGGGCGTCAACTTTACATTCCCATCGCGTCCGGACACACCAGTGCTCAACGATTTCAGCCTCAGCCTTATGCCTGGACGCACCACAGCCATAGTGGGTCGCTCTGGCTCTGGCAAGACCACCATAGCTTTGCTCATGCTCCGGCTATATGATCCCCAGGCGGGCATTATTACGGTGGATGGCATGGATCTGCGCGAGCTGAATCCCCAGTGGCTGCGCCACAGTATCGGTGCCGTTAGCCAGGAGCCGGTTCTCTTCTCCGGCACCATACGCGAGAACATCCTGTACGGCGTGAATCCCGACGCGGAGAATGTGGAGGAGAAGCTGCAGGCGGCCGTCGAGGAGGCGCATGTGAGCGAGTTCACTGACAATCTGCCCGATGGCCTTGAAACCATTGTGGGACAGCGCGGCATGATGCTCAGTGGCGGGCAGAAGCAGCGCGTGGCCATTGCGAGGGCCTTGATCAAGGTAACTAACTGCTTTTCCGTGCTAAAATACTCTTAATCTGTGTTTATGCCTTGCAGAATCCCACCATCCTGATCCTGGACGAGGCCACCAGCGCTTTGGATGCCGTCTCCGAGCAGCTGGTGCAGAATGCCCTCGACAAACTTATCCAGGGACGCACTGTACTGACCATTGCCCATCGGCTGAGCACCATCCGGAATGCGGATCAGATAGCCGTGCTCAGCGGCGGCAAAATTGTGGAGCAGGGCAACTACGACGAGCTGCTGGGCATTGAGCATGGAGTCTTCCGCGAACTGGTGGCCAGTCAGACCTTTGGCACGTCCTAATGCGTAGCCACGGTACCCTTTTAGGTTATATATATACATATTTTCGGCTGACTTGGACGAAATCCACCGCTGGCTGGTGGTGGGCTTTCTGTGTTTACAAATTCATCGTTTTAAGGCATCTCCCAGGCCAGGTGATTCATAAATCAACAGTTTCTAGTTTTGTACCAACTTTGTACAGAATCGCAATAATACAACGACCCCTTCCCCCCCATCCCCCATTGACCATTGTTAAATATACAACAGAGAAGGTGTTCTTAATTAGGATAAGTTTAAGGAGGAGCAGGTGAGCCCAGTAAGTTTACAACCGAGTGAAATACCCCAAATACAAAGAGCTCTATGTGATGGATAAACAAAGTTAATGATACTGTTTCAAACATTTTATTGTTATCGTTTACATTTCAGTGTTTCCCCAGCTCCTCCGGCTGGGCTCCAACGATTCATCTTAAGGCTAATCAACAGGCACAAAAATAAATGCAATAATTTCGCTGTATCTAGCTTCCAAATCCAGAAACAGCTTCGACTTGGATCCCAGACCCGCGTCTACTTCATGGTGGGCATGGCCACGGCCGCCTGGGTATGGGTCACATCCGTCTCGCGCCACAGCTGGGTGACCGTCTTGGTCTGCGTGTAAAACTTGATGCCCTGCTTGCCATAGAAGTGGTGGTCACCGCGGAAAGAGCCACGTGTGCCGGTGAAGGAGAACATGGGCAGGGGCACTGGAATGGGCACATTGACGCCCACCTGTCCGGCATCGATCTCGTTGACGAATTTGCGAGCAGCAGCGCCATTGGTGGTGAAGACAGCAGTACCATTGCCATAGGGATTGGCATTCACAATGCCAATGGCATCGTCCAAGGTGTCGGCCTTGAGGATCACCAGGACGGGACCGAAGATCTCCTCGGTGTAGCACTTCATGCTGGGCGTGACATCGCTCAGGATGGTGGGGCCCACAAAGTAGCCATCCTCATAGCCGGGCACGCTGATCTTCCGACCGTCCAGGATGAGCTTGGCGCCCTCCTTCACACCGGACTCGATCAGATCGTTGATGCGCTGGCGGGAGGCGGCGCTGATCACGGGTCCCACATCGGTGCCGGGCACATGGCCGGCGTTCACCTTCAGCTTCTGGGCACGATCCACCAGATCGGGAATCCAGCTCTGGGCATCGCCCACAAAGACGGCCGTCGACAGGGCCATGCACCGCTGGCCGGCAGCACCGAAGGCGGCGCCTGCCAGCTGGTTCAGTGTGTTCTCCTTGTTGGCATCGGCCAGGATGATGCCATGGTTCTTGGCCCCCATGTTCGACTGCACCCGCTTGCCATTCTTGCCGGCCCGCTCGTAGATGTACTTGCCGGCCTGGTCAGAGCCCACAAAGGACACGGCCTTGATCTCGGGCGCATCGCAAATGAAGTTCACGGCGTCGTGTTGGCCATGGATGACGTTCACCACGCCGGGTGGGCAGCCGGCCTCGTTCAGCAGCTCCATCAGCAGCATTGTGGCGCCGGGCACACGCTCCGAGGGCTTCAGCAGCATGGTGTTGCCGGTGGTGATGGCCACTGGGAACATCCACAGCGGAATCATGGCCGGGAAGTTAAAGGGAGCCACGCCGGCGGTGACGCCCAGGGGCAGGACCAGCGAATAGGTATCCATGTCGCGGGCCACATTCGCCACCGTCTCGCCCATCTGCAGCGACGGGATGCTGCAGCAGTGCTCCACCACCTGAAGGCCGCGCAGGACATCGCCCTCGGCATCGGCCAGGGTCTTGCCCTGCTCCTTGGTGATATTCTTGGCCAGCTCGCCCATATTCTCCTTGATGAGGGCCTGCAGCTTGAACATCACCTGCTGGCGGGTCAGTATAGACTGATTGCTCCAGGACCGGAAGGCCTTCTTGTTGGACTCCAAAGCCGTCTGCATCTCGTCCTGGGTGGCCTTTGGCACGCGGGTTACCACCTTGTTGGTGGCCGGATCGTGCACATCGATCCACTCCTTTGTCTTGGACTCCACAAACTTGCCGTCGATGAACAGCTTGGTGGTGGGAGCGGCCGAGGAGTACGTCCTCTTGGCCATCTGGCGGGCCTGGTGACGAAGAAGGTGAGTGAATTTTAATATTTCTTAAGATATTATGAAACTTTTGGTACACGCATGTACTATATATTTAGTTATACTACTTAAATATGTGCGCCTAGGGTGGACCAGCAAACTCTATATTTTAAATTTTATTTTTAAGAAATTTTAATAATTTTTAAAATTTATTTATTAATTTTTATTATATTTACTTATACTATTTAAATATGTGCGTCTAGGGTGGACCAGCTAATTCTATGTTTTAAATTGTATTTTTTTGCAAATTTTTAAAATTATTTAAAATTTATTTATTAATTTTTATTATATTTTCACAAGAAAATATTTAAAAAAAAAATATATATATATATATTATATATATGTATAACAGCTAGCCTGCTTTCGTCACTAGCCTGGTCCACCCTAGAGTGCCTTTAATTCGCTTAATTTGCTGCACTTGACTTTGTTTGCAATGCAAATAACCGAATCCTAACCTCAACCCCTGTTTGGAGCATGGGGTGGGGTGGGGTGGTGTGTTTTTTAATTTGGCTGATAACCCCCCACGCCCACGCTTATCAGTGTTCATCTGGCAGACATGCGTTCGGCTCAAGTGGAAATGTTTCGCCAACTGTTGCCTGTTCGGTTATCGCGTTTTATTGGATTTTATGCCGCTAAATCCCCCCGGTAATTGTTTTTGTTTTCGTTTTATCTGCTCTCCTCTGCCTCTGCTTCTTCTTCTTCGCGGTTCTGTTGGCTCAGTTACGTAACATGTGTTGTTGTCAATTGGCGATTTCGTTTTCACGGCCATCGCTCTTCTCCCCCTCTCTCTCTTCTCCCATTGAATCAATTGGGGAGTGAGAGGGATGGCATGTGGTGTCATTGCACTTGCACTTGCAACCTGCACACACGTGAAACACCTGTACGCCGGATCTGCTACTCACCTCAGCGCCGATCAAACGCACTAGGGACATCTTGGGAATGGTTGGATAATTGCCAGCAAGGAAAGATCGCTTCGGTTTGGAAATGGCCGGGGATCGCGTGCGCTCCAAACGGTGGTTCCACTAGAACTGAACGCAGCCGCCGCCTTTCAGAACCGCTGTTCCGAGGGGGGCCCGTGTATTTTTACCATGTGTGTGTGTGTGATGGTGTGATTGTTGATATACGAGTAAAAAAAACTGGATGACTTGGCGGCGGAGGAGGAGGTGAAGACCACGTCAAAATGTGCTTAACGATAGTAAATGGGATACATACACACACGCACACCTTTAACTCAAGAACATGGCGCACCAGCTGTTGGTTTTGCTATTTTCCTATTGTTGCTTTTGTTATTGCATTCGTTGGGGGCTCGTGGCTTGATGGTGTGCGTGAGTTTGTTTTGCGTTGTTTGTCTTTCCATTGCTTTCTGCCCTCACGGAAGGGTACATTAGCTGGCGTGGCAGCTAATGTATCTTTTGGATACGGAAACTGAAGTTAAAATAAATTATAAGAACTACGAAAGCTTACGAGAGCAAACAACATTCGGTATTGGGGAAAAAATTAGTCGTTGAAGATTTTAAAAAATAAAAGCAACTTTTCCTTTGAATATTATTTTAAGTAGCGGAGCCAGTCTTTTGACAACATTTGCTAATAATATTTTATATTAAAAATTTTTTTCCCCCAATGGAATTTCTCGGGCTTAGTCCCATACATAAGAAAAACAAAATAAAATTGGTAAAAATATCAAAATAAAGATAAAACCAGAAATCAAGAGGGAAACACAAATATTTGTAAATCGTAACCTTAATAATAAAGACTTCATTATTTTTTAAACCAAAAGAAGGAAAATAATAGAAATATTGCCTTCATAATGACCAGCGAATTGAGTCACTCGCTGTAAAACGACTCTTTGCGTATCGTTGCATCTCGTTGATATGCAATACATTTATGGAAATTAGAATCTCCTATCAAAATATGTACTCCGAGACTTCAACTGAATCACTAATTTTTGAGAATTATATTTAACAAAGACAAATGAAACAAAATTAGAAAATAAATTAAAAATCAAAATAAATTACTTTGGTAATAATCCCCAATGGAATTTCAAATAAGGTTAAGTTACCAATAATAATAAAGACTTCATTATTTTTTAAACCAAAAGAAAGAAAATAATAGAAATATTGCCTTCATAATGACCAGCGAATTGAGTCACTCGCTGTAAAACGACTTTTTGCGTATCGTTGCATCTCGTTGATATGCAATACATTTATGGAAATTAGAATCTCCTATCAAAATATGTACTCCGAAACTTCAACTGAATCACTAATTTTTGAGAATTATATTTAACAAAGACAAATGAAACAAAATTAGAAAATAAATTAAAAATCAAAATAAATTACTTTGGTAATAATCCCCAATGGAATTTCAAATAAGGTTAAGTTACCAATAATAATAAAGACTTCATTATTTTTTAAACCAAAAGAAAGAAAATAATAGAAATATTGCCTTCATAATGACCAGCGAATTGAGTCACTCGCTGTAAAACGACTTTTTGCGTATCGTTGCATCTCGTTGATATGCAATACATTTATGGAAATTAGAATCTCCTATCAAAATATGTACTCCGAAACTTCAACTGAATCACTAATTTTTGAGAATTATATTTAACAAAGACAAATGAAACAAAATTAGAAAATAAATTAAAAATCAAAATAAATTACTTTGGTAATTATCCCCAATGGAATTTCTGGGGCTTAGTCCCAAACAGGCGAGAACATACAAATTAAAATAAAACAACCGGCAGTCAAGAGGGAAGCAAAAAATATTACTGGCAAGAATATTTAAATCAAAATAAAACCAAAATCAAGAGGGAAACAAAAATAAATAACTTAGTAGATGTGTTCGCTTCGTTGTACAAAATAAAACTGAATATTGTTAGAGCGAGCAGCTCCTTATATATCAAATCCGGCAGTGTTGCAGGATGAAAATTTGGCTTTCCCCCTAAAATATCTCAAATAGTTCAAATTGCTCCATAAAAAATCCCCCTAAATTCAAAAATGAAAGCAGCATCCAGTGATGCCCATTCTTTCGTTTTTTAAGCCCTGTGCTGCCCATAGGCTAGCTGGCGCCACTCAGTAACATCATCTTTTGACACATGTAAAAATCTGGGTGTAGTATCAGATGTGGTTGGCGTATAAGGTGTGGTTCGAATATACAAAAATAACGAATTTAAGGGCAGTGATGTCATTTCCGCTCTTTTTTATTATTATTTTATTATTAGCTATGACTTAAAAATTTGCATAAAATGTATATGCATAAAATATGCAACATATATGAAATATTCCTAATATACGCAAATATGTAAAATAAACACATCTAAAAATATTTCATGAAAGCGATTCCTAGGGAGTAAATAAATTGAAATATCTTGGTTCTTTAAAATTATGCAAATGTGCAGATTCGAAGAAGCTCTTTATATGTACATCAAACGAGAGGTATTGAAAAATATATGCATTATATGCATTATATATGCAAAATAGTATTGGAATTTAACTTTTATTTTATTTGTCATCATTCAAATTTGAAAATAAAAGTAATTTGTCAATTTTTATCAGCTTTTAATTTACTCATAACTCTTAGTTGCGATCCCTGGCATTGGCCAGAGTGCTGCAAAAGCAGCATAACTGCTTCGATTTAATATTTAATACTTAAAACTAAACTAACAACAAACAACAAATTATATTCTAAAGATCAGCTTTTTTCCCTTGAGATTCGTTTTTTTTTTTTTTAGCTATTTGTTTGGGTAATCTAGCTAATTTTGCTCAGAAAAATGGCATCACTGGCGCAAACAAGCATCGGAAAATGTTTTTCTTTTTCCGACATTCAAACGGAGCGGACGTGTGTTTTCGGTAGCGGAAGAGTCGGCGCGTTCGGCGTTTTCGGTAAATCGTGTTTCGCGTGTGTCAGTGTGTGCTTAAGCGTCGTTGCGAGTGTGGAAATTGTGGAATTGTAATAAAACCGGTTGCCACTGCCGCACTTCTTGCAATTGCCTTGCTGAAATAGTAAATAAAAAACGCGGCTAAAAACGGCCCCGAATAGTTGTTAAAAGTCATCCCAGATCCCAGCCATTGCTGTTCTTATTCCTCATTTCGCGCCGTTCGCGTTGCAAAAGGAAAGCAAGGATAAACGATAAAACCTCTTTCTTTCGATCGCTTCAATTTTTTTCCTGTGCCTGTGCCCCAAACCGAAAAAGAAGTCCCCGAAAGAAGGGAGCTGATGGAATACAAATAAAAGTCAAGAAGAAGCAAAGATAAAGCGCGCGCGGGTGTCGTTGTGTATTGCACCTTTTTTTTTGTCGTTTGTTTGCAAGTGAGCGTGCCGATTGTCTCTCTCTCACTCTCTTCCAGCTCAAAAGCCCGAGAGCGGAGAGAGCGCCGGAGTGGCAGGCAGATCTTGGAGAGCGGATCGACCAGCACTTAGGTAAAGAGAATATGAAGAAGTGCCATGTGTACCTGTGTGTGTGTTAACAAGTTTATGCAATGCATTACACGAATTTGTAGATACAATTAACCGAAAGGAGTTGTGAAAGATACTTTTTGAGAACCTAAAATATCTGAACTTTGCCGTTTAGGTGAAATATTTGTTGTATTAATGTAATGCTTATTTGATAGATGCGAGTTTTGTTTTTATAAACATTTGAGAGCATTACATGAAATGAATTGCTTGAATTCGGCATAGCATAAACTAGGCTTGTGTGCGTGTGTGTGGCAGTTAGTGGGATTGCGGTGCAGCAGCAGCAGCCGCAAAGACCGGCGAAACCGGTCCGACTTCCAGCAGCGAGTTACCTGCAAACAATAACAAAGCTAGAGACGGGCTGCAGCGGAGCTAAAACAAAAACGGCTGCAGCATCAGCAACAACTATTGTTATGCCAAATACCGTTCAGATCGCCTATTAGCCAAAGCCAAGGATTCAAAGGCAAGTGCAGATCTTCTAGGTGATTTGGGATTATTTTTACACTTTTTGGATATATCTGCATTATTATACATTTTTAAATAATGTAAAAAAAAAAAAAAAAATGTTTGAGAGTAAAACATGGATGTTTTGGGATACGCATTGATAGAGTTCTTGTTTCGAATATCTACAGTCATTGTTAGCTAATTAGAACTATGACTAAATTTTTAAAAAATTTATTTTCTTTTTTATAAATTTCAAGTTTCTGAAATTTATTTAATACACTCTATAACATTTAATTTTCTAAAAACTTAATTTTGTTTTGTTTTAGACTCTTTAGGGTTTAAACTTTAGGTTTTTTAATATTCTTCAACATTTATACTTTTTATTTTAAATAAAATAAAAAATATTTCCAACGGACTGCATCATCAGCGGGGTAGAATAAAAGCAAAGACAAAAGAACCCAGCGAAGTAGAAGATGGAAAAGTCAGCGGCAAAAAGCTAAAAGTTGATTAAGCAAATAAATAAAGTACGGGCTGCAACATAAGACATTAACCCCGAAAAGGCAGGGCATCTCCGTGGTGGCCTCATTGCTAAGGTGAACCATTTTTTTTGGGTTCGTTTTTTGCAACTCTAAACTTTCAATAACCCCATTCTCGATTATAGTTTTTCAGTCAGAAATAGGTGACTGCAAATTCAAACTGCCCTTGATTGCACATAAAGTTAAATATTGGTAATAAGAATAAAAACATTTTAAGTTTTATGGTAATTATTATTTGATTTTTATGAAAGAAGTCTCACAAACAATGAGGGTGAAAACCCCAAGAAGCCTAAAAAAAAACCTTAAAAAAAGACCACAGCGAATACATATATAAAAACTGGTGTGTGTATATACATGATGATTGGTTAATTATACCTTTCCAGAATTTTATTATAATTTGCATAATTTGGTTACTTTGAAATATAATTGGTTTTGACTCAGGCTTTGGTTGGTTATATACGAGTTTCTTCTTCAAAAATTATATAGATCTTATATAGTTAAATTAGCATATTTGCAAGGTTATAAAAGATATTTCCAATATTTATATATTTTATTTACCATCAAAACCTGAAAATTTTGTTTTTGTAAGCCTTAGGAATTGATGCATTTTATGAAAGTTTTCTTTTTTTTTACAAGAACCTTAATTTTAAAATGTTGCACTCATTTATTAGTCAAATTTGTTAATAGTTTTCAAGAGTACATACTAAACTTTAGTCCCAGTCTAGGGTTAAAGAACCCAAAGGACAATCGCCACCTGCGCTGCCAAGGGTTAATCACTCAGCTGCGACGCTGACTGCGGCGCAAGCAGCGGCTGCGTCTTGGCGTGTAATTGACGTTGCCAAAAATTAAGCCAGAACAACAAAAAGCGGTCGTGGAGAGAGTGAGCGGGGGAGAGGATGAGGGGCACAGAGCACAGAAAGCAGAAGGGAAAACTTGACGGGAGCAGAAAAGCCTTTGTTTTTTTTTTTTTTTTTTTTCTTTTGGCACTGAGTCTGGTTTGCAGTACAGTTAGCCTACGTGCACATATATATTGGTGTTGGTGTTGGCATTGGCATATTCGGTGAGTGTGTGTGTGTGTGTGTGCGTGGGGCGACTGTGTAAGTGCGTGTTTTTGGCGCGGAACTTTTTTTTTGTTAATGAATTTATCTTTGGGCGAAACGAGAACTGCACGCAGGTGAAAAGAAGAGCGAGTTGAGCCGAGAGTCCCGAAAAAAGCATGCCAAAAAACAAAGCGATTAGCAGGAATCACACGCACGCACAGTGGCGACAGCGGGAGCGGGTGGGTAAGGAAGGGGCGGGTAAATACTTGGACGCAGAAAAAAAACCGTTAGGTACTGGAAAAAGAGTGTACACAGGGCACTGTCAATGAATTCAACTGGAAAAAATCCAGAAAAGATCAAAGATCGGTGATCATGATTCATGTTAAAGCCTAAAGATATTGTATTTATCAATAAAACGAGAGGTTAAACCTTAGTTTATGTGAGAAAATGCAGTTTCAAAATTCAATAATTTAAATATTTTTTCAGTTTCTTTTATCACAAATATATTATATAAATACATATATAAATCTAACATTTATATTCTTGTTAGATTTAGTTACCAAGTGTTATTTAGTAGTAGGAGCCCGGATGTTGGTCTTTGTCTCCTTGGAAACTGTGTCGTTACCGAACCCTGATCGCGCCATGAGCTCTTTTTTTTTTGTAATGATTTGAGTTCGTGGAGTTTTTTTGTTTAGGTTTTGATTTTGGCTTTGGTTTTGCTTTTGGGGCAGGGGTTAGCGTTAAGTCTAACGCAGGCAGCGACCACAAAACCGTGGCAACAACCGCAGCAACAGAAACAGCAGCCATCAGCATCGGGGCATCGGCAGCCAGAAGAACAACTCCACGAAAAAAACCAGTTTCGACAACGATTATGGTCCGAGCGGAAAGGCTGGCCGGAGTTTCTCGAATGGAGTTTGGGGCCAAGCTCGACAAGGGGCTGAGAAGCTGGCAAGCTGGGAAGTTGTTGAGAAGCTTGGATGAAGGATTGCTGTGTTGGTGTTACTGGTTTGCATTGGTGTTGGCCTTAAGGCAGTACAGTTTGACCATCTTACTTGCTTCCTGATCGAAGTGGTGCGATAATAATAGAAAATGTCTATGCCAAAGTCAGCTATACAGCTTAAGCTTTTGAATTTTGTTCAATTCAAGTATGAAGTACTTATCATTAAAAGAGAGGAATATTAAAAAAAAAACAAGACTTGAAGTTAACTTTTAGCCAATAAAAAATCGACAACTGAAGTATTATTATTCTAAGAATAGTAACATGATTTTGCTCTCTTACAAATTAATATTATATATTAAATTATTAGAGAAGAAATCAGAATCTTCACAGCATATTTAAAATACTGGAAATATTATAGCTCCTGGGATAGACCATTATAATAGAGTGCATGCTCCATCTCTATATAAAACATGGCTTAAAGCATCGGCTAAGGGATTAAAAAAATAAAAGTCTATTTTAACTTAAAAGAAGAATTGTTCTTAACTGTGAGTTTGACATTTTTTAATAATTTTAAATTTTTATTGAAATATATTGTTTAAAAAGGCATACAAATTGTATTTAAATGAACTCGATCATCTTAAATTTTTGGTTATTATCCTCCGTTAATTAAACTTACACATATTCTCAAAAACTTTTAAATAAAAGCAAGATTTCAATATGAAGAAATATTTCAGATATTGTGAAATATACCAAAAATAACTCAAAGTTTCATGGGGATCTAGACTTAATCCATATTTGATTGATTTTATTAAGACGCTTCTTCTTTTGTGTTTATATTTCTCCTGACATGTTATGTTTTTTCGCCTACGCCATCCACTCACTTGCTCACTCTCTCTATTTCTCTCTCTCTCTGCTAGCCTCTCTTTCTTTATGCTCCTCTTATTGGGGCTGCATCATTGTTTACTCCTTTTATGCTTATTTGTTCTACATTCTCTTTCTCGCCTCACTCTCGTTGCTCGTGTTTTTCTGATGATCAATAGGTTGGAGTTGGAGTTGGAGTTGGAGTTCGAGTTGATGGCCAGCGTTCGAGCTTGACTGATGTTTGAAATATCGGTTCGAATCGAACCTAGTGGGAACTTTATTTTTACTCAGCACTGCAAGAAATAATATGAAATATGTACTTCATTTAAATCGGTTTAAGAAAGATGTATGCAGAATTTTTAAAATAAGTTTAATTAAAAAATAAAAAATATTTATATTCTCACATATTTTAATAATTATATACAACATATTTTTTGTACAGATGTCACCAATATTAAGACGAAAACTGTGGAAAACAAAAGGATTATTTTCAACGCTCACAATGCTCATCAGTCTCAAATAAGGTAAGTGACTAAATATGGTTTAATTAATTAATTATTATTGAGAAAATGAATAAGAAATTAGTTCTGACTTAATGAAAATGTGTTTTAGTTATTGTAGAATTTTTTTTAAATATTTTAGTTAAAATACTGACTTTATAGACAAATAATCCTCCCCAAATTTTGAATAGCTAGTGTAAATAACACCATTTTAACCACAACTAGTACTTTGTTTTTGCTTTCATTACGTGCGAAAAAAAATATGCACTAAGTGCAATAGATATTGGTTACTAAACGATCGTTAAACGCTCGAATGGACTCATAAATAGAAATAGATAACGAGATGGTGGCCCAGATACGGCGATATCGTGTCCATATTACTATACACATATTCATATATCCGAGTTCCGCAGGTAGACAATGTTTATGCACTTATGGGATATCAAGTAACGCTGAAAATATTGTTGTCTAGACCCAAATGCTTTATGGATGAGTGTCGCTTACTTGAGACACAGCGAGCGTGGGCTATTGAACTTCACATTGGACACGCACATGTGATACAGATAACGTACGACCGATTCCGAAGTCGGAGAGAGGGGGTTTTGTCATGCAAATGAACTCAATGCAGGCAGGCAGGCGGGCGGGCAGGCAGGCGGCATGACAAAGTTTTCAGATTGATTCACCACACATTTGTAATAAAGGCAACAAATATCGATAACAACCGGGAAATGTGATATTTTTAAATCCAGATTTATTTCTTTATTTATGTTATGTATATTTGTTTTTGGGTCACTTGAAAAATTAATAATAATTAGTATGTAAGAATAAGTATACCAATTTTTAGTGAGTTATTTCAACTTTATTTTCTTCGATATTTAATCGATTTTAACGCTATATGGGTTTTATTTTGATATTTTGTTACTTTTCTAAAGATAAAGATACATTCCTTATTTTAAAATGGTTTTCTTCAACGTTCTGATACTTTTTTTAATTAAAAATTGTTTTGTTGGTAAATCGAAATTATCGATAACATGAATTTGTATTATTTCTGAATAGCAATCCATGTTTTTGAGTACATTCCTGTTCTAAAAAACTCGCATGTCAATGTTTTTATTTTTTACAACTGTCTGATAGTGTATTTTTTTTTTGTATTTTTTTTTTGCCAAGTCCCAGCATAAATATGCAAATCCGTCGTTTCACTGAACAAATTGTGAAATTGCAAATACGCGCTTAGGTGCTACTTTTTACAACGCTATATGTATTTTCATTTAAAGTCTACTGTGCATTTTCATGCTGTCATGGCGTTGCAAGGTAAATTTGTACATTCACATTTACATATATATTTACACTTGGGCGTGGGACCATACATATGTACATAAGTATGTTGAAATATGTATAACCTCTGCTCATAAATTTAAACGTCATTTGACAAATATGGTGTCACCCAAAGTGTCTTCGATATAAAACAGAACGGAATCGAAATGATTTATATTCATTTGAATCGCAACAACAGTCAGCCGGTGGCATTGGCTGTGCGCTCTCGTCTTCATCCTCCTCCGTTCTAAGCCACAAACCATTATAATGTTTTAATGTAATAACAAACTTTGGACACGAAACACAAACTCAAGGGAATTTTTTTTGATTTTTTTTTTTTTGGCAAAGCCAAGCAGAAAGTAGCAGTTGTCTGGCAGTAGTTGTAGTTGTAGTATTGTTGTTGTTATTGTTATTGTTGTTTTCCGCCGTGAAATGGCAGTTGTTCATGCCAAAAAAAAAGAAAGAAAAATTATACATATAAAAATTACCTTGCTTTTGCAACTTGGGTGGGTTTTATTAGAATTTGCAATTAAATTCGAGTTTAATAAATAAAAAATAAAATAAAATATTACTTATTAATATAATTTCATTAAAGGTTGCTCAAAACAATATTAAAATGTAGTAATCTTAGTCAAAAGTTTACAATCCAGTGAAGAAGTCATTTCCGACCCCATAAATCATATATATTCTTAATCAGCATCACAAGACGAGTCAATCTAGCTATATCCGGTAAAAAAAAAAAATTTCAAAATTTTTTAAGGGGTTTAATCGTTAATATTATCAAAATTTGGAAAAAAAAATTTAATTTTTTTAGATGTTAAATAAAGTTAGCAGATTTGTTAACCTTATAAAAACTAACATAAAACCGCTTTCCGAAATGAAATTAATGTTTTTTTGACTTAGTTATTGTTTTTTAAAACTTTGATTTGTCCAATTATTTTTTTTAACAATTTTTCCAAATTTTTTTAAAAATTTCAAAAAATTAAATGTTGTTTAAATGTTAAATTAGCGGTTATTAGTTGTTTAGAAATCATTTAATAAAAAAAAAAATACTCCATTGAATAAAAACCAAATTTACCGCTTAAAATGTATTTTAAATCATTTAAAAATTATAACAAAAAATCTGTAGACTGCACTTGTAGTGGATATTAACTGGCTAACACTCTCCTTGAATGCAAATTTGTGCCAATGTGAACATGAATTTTATATTTGGACTACAGATATAACTATTTAGCATTACATCAGCGCAGTCAGTCAGAGTGGAGAAACTTTGAACAGACCCACCTCTTTGTTGCAGGCAATATTTTTATTATATACATATGTATATGTGTCTGTGTATATATGTATATATGTTTGTTGCTGAAATCGGCCAAGTTAATCTTGTGCGAGGCATCGGAACGATCGACAACACACGCTCATAAAAAACCGAAAAACCAGCCTTATATTTTTTATTTATTTTGTTTTTTCAAGCCGCTGCGTCATGAATTTTTGCAAATAAAAAATAAGTCATTCAATTCATAAAACGACTGACTGGAATCGTAATATTTAAATAGCCAAGAGAGTATGGGAATTGAGTTTATTGAGGTGTCCAATCAGCAGCTTTATTCATCAATTTTAAAATTTATTTTTGTTTTATAGAAGATTTTCATTAAGGGAAATATAACATGTAAAATGAACATGTCTTAAACAATGCAACATTTAGTTTTTGTTTTTTGATAATTTAATGAATAAGCAGCTGCTGTTTTACGTGCTTTTATTGCGAAAAATGTTTATTTTTGATAAGGTTTACTTAGCTGGTTAGCTGAATGAGTAACTTGGTTTTTTTTTATAGAGATTATACAGCTTGCAGGTGGAATTACTATAACCCAAAATGGAGTGGAAATGTTTTACCTTCTTTGGCATTCTATCTGAGATTTGGTAATGTATTTCTTTGAGGTTTGTTTTGATTTTTCTTACGGTGCACGTGTGTTCTTTTGCCTGGCATATTCCATGTTTTGCGGCTGAGCTCTTCCCTCTGGTTGCCGACGACGCCTTTAGCTGATAACACAAAATCAATAAGTAATAAGATAACAGTAACCCCAACTTGCCAAGTGAGCGGTTTGCCCGACTCGCTGGGTGTTTGTGTGTGTGTGTGTGTGTGTGTGTGCCTGGGTGATGTTTGTCATCTGATAAGCAGGTCCCCCTGCTTCTCGGCATCTTTGCTGTGCTCCCCCCACACACCCATTACCCAATCGAAAGTGCAAGAGTCGTTCGTTCTCGGTTCCATTGCTCCACGACAAGGGCCAAAACGGCAATCGCAATGAAAATGTTTCCAGAGTATCGTTCCGATGGTGATGACAGAAGCACAACCACCACTCCTCCTCCTTCTTTTCCGCCCAGCAAACAACCGTATCCGCATTGTATGTACCTTGTGACGCCTATCATCGTCATCGTCACCTTCGTGGCAAATAATTGGGACAAGTGTCTCTGTGTATGTGTGTGTGTGTGTGTGTGTGCACAGTGGATCAAAATGCCTACCACTATATTTGATGTTCCATTTTTGGCCATTATTGGTTATTTCTACACAGCCTAAAATACACTCTAAATGCCCTAGCAGACTAATGTTGTAACTAAGCCCTCAACTAATGGTGGAATTTGTTAGCCTAAAATGTTATAGTTGTACTTTTGTTCTTGGTTAAATAATATAAATAGATTTGCAGTGGGTTTGCTAAAGAGTTTATATTAGTATATAATAAAAAATATAACATTTACCAGATAAATTGTTAGAAAATGGTTTAAAATCTTATAAACTATATCTTTTTCATGAAATTCTTAACAGATGGACTTTTATTTAAGTTAAACTAAAGAGATTCTTGAAAGCCTTAAGTTAGAATTTGTTTGTTTTTGACTATATAATATATATATGTGTTTATTTATATATATAATGTGTAATCCCCAAGTGCAGAAGGTCAACTGTGATTTTAAAAGTGTCCCTAGATTACGTTCGCCAGTCAAAAAACCTCACTCCTTTAATTGTTCAAGACCCACTCGATTTGCACACGGTCGCCAGGATACACAAACACACACACACACACACACACACACTACATTTTGGCCGCAGGATATGCGGGGAAATGGTGCCATGGTAGACTCACAGGAGCTCGAGGGAGACTCACAGCGGTGCGTGTGTCTTATCTGTTGTCCTTTTAATTTCAATTCACATGTGGGTTTGCCGCTTTGTGCACATTACTCATTTATGCCCCCCTGTTTCACGTTAATCTGCCACGGTTCCTGCCGTGCTTCGGCCTTAGTTTTTGTGTTTTTCCCCTCTACTTTTGTGTGTGTGTGTGTGCCGGCACTGCTGATCGCTAATCTTATGTTAATTTATCATAGCCACAGCTAGCAGCTGTTTCGGAGCGTGTGCTCTCCGCGTCTCCGGCTGTCAGCTGTTGGTTTTCTCGGTACGCACACCGCACACACGCTGACCACCAAGGTGTTGGCCAGGCCAACACTGCGGGCAAAATAACGGGGGGGTTAAGGGGGTGTGCCAAGTAGGATAGACCACCAACTAAACGACTAATTTATAATAGTGCTTATCCTTTTGTACAGTGAGTTAATTTAATTTTATAAAAGCAAAATATACGCTTTATTAACATAAAAGGTAAAACGTTTTTGAGGGGGTCAAGATATGGTGAAACAAAATATTTAAAAGTAATTTAAATATAAATTTA